TTATAAACAAAAGTCATATATGCAGTATCAAATAATAGGTAAGCAGCCAACAAATGGGCCTCACAATGCCTTCTCCTCAATGCTTCTGGAAGTTCCATAAATCATTCTAATGGGTCAAACATTGAAGGGTCTCAGAAGAACACAATTATTTTCAAAAAAGAATAGCATGGTAAATTCATCTGAATTCATACATAAAACAACTATTTCATCGTGTAGACCAAAGTTAAAGAAATATCTACTACAAAATTGTAATGGGATAATTAGAAGGAAACAGCTTGGGACACTGCTTACAGCGGAAGATGGAATTCAATGCTACCCTAAGAAGGGTCAATGTCAGGAGTGCCTGTGAGTCCAGATGAGTCTCTCTTTGCTCATGTGCCACAGAACACATTCATAGTACAGTACAAAGCAGTAGGCACGGAGGATGGAAGCAAGATCGTGTTTTAATAGTCAGGAGTCCTACTCGGACCCACTCAGGTAAACTGAAGGGCAAGGATAATTATTCCTGCAGGTCACTTCTTTGAATAGTTTGCTAACTCTGAGTCCTATGCTCCTGTGAGAGGCTCATGGTGTGACTCTGACCATTCAATGAACTTTGCTGGGACAACTTTCATGCCACCATATCAGAACAGAATAGAATGAAGAGCTTGCCCTTTTTTTTCCTTTTGAGACAGAGTCTCACTCTGTTGCTCAGGCTGGAATGCAGTGGCATGATTCTCCTGCCTCAGCCTCCCTGGTAGCTGGGATTACAGGTGCCTGCCACCACCTCCAGCTAATTTTTCTAATTTTAGTAGAGACGGGGTTGGCCAGACCGCTCTCCATCTCCTGACCTCAAGTGAGGTCTTAGCCTCCCAAAGTGATGGGATTATAGGTGTGAGCCACTGTGCCCAGCCCACATTACTCCTTTTCTGATTAAACTATCTCTTCAGATTAAAGCCTTTGGGTATATATACTGGAGGCAATTGGAATTCTTAAACCTTTCTCTTTCTATAACTTTTTTTCACATATTTAGAAGATTACTGAGCCCCCTTTTATATTTTGCTGTGATCTTTGGATGAGTAACTGGGATAAGAATGCTGGCTATCTTTAGAGGAAGGCTTTTTAAATAAATTGAGAAAAATGTAAAGCATCATTCCTATAAAATGTCCACTGAAAGAGCCTTTATAGATATTCACTTTTATTTTTTATCATTTTTATTTTGTAGATTGACAGATAAAATTATATATATTTACCATACACAACATGATGTTTTGAAATAGATACACATTGTGGAATGGCTAGCATGCTGATTAACATATGCATAACCACGTTTCCTTTCACGATGTTGAACCCTGACATATTTTTTTTTTTTTTTGCAAACATCTCATTCTGGAGAAGGAAATGATTTTTTAACTAAAATAAACATACATTGGAAATACTTAGTGCTAAGATAAGCCTGAAGGAAAGGATAGAAGAATGATGAATCAGAAAACTGACTGTCAAGAAACCAATTATTTAACATAAAACACTATTAAAGATAAGCCACGAAATGTAAGGCCTGCTGGGTAGGAAAGCGGCAACCGCAGTGAAGCATCTCTTTATTTCACGCAGGTCTATAACCAACAGTGAATCTAGCAAAAGTTATTTTCTGATTTGGGGGAGAAACTTCTGCTTATTAAAAAAAATCGAAAATGTTTAAACTTCTTGAGTGCCAAGGTCAATTATTCTAAATCTTAAAACCACAGTTTTAATTTTGCTTTTTTGTTAGTTTTTGTACTTTGGAGTCTTTGTCTACCTTATCTTTCTATATTTGCCATATTTAGAGTCCAAAGTAAAATCAAATTGTTTCTCTCCTCAAGTTAAATGGCTCTTTCTATCTTTTTCTTTAAAATCGTTTAAGAAAGTAAAACTTCTAAAGCAAGTCAAAAAGAAAAAATGCCCCAAATCTGAAAATGGGGTAGCTTTTCTGGCAGTAACGCAACTTCTGCAAGTATTACAAACCAGATTCGGTATCAGAATTTTAAAGCTCCTGTAACAAAGCCACCCTGTTGACTCTGAAGAGATTTATGAAATCACTTTCCTGATGTTACCGAAACCAAAACACTTTCCTGGACGCTAAATTCAGTCCTAAACAAAGGGCCTCCAACCAACAGCTGTCATGGGCTGAATGAGTTAGACTCAACATCGTGTGACGGGAAAACAGTAAACACAAGCTAACATTTAAAAGGAATTGATGGCATGGTATAAATTGGAAATCCAAGAAGAGCCTGGCTTCAGGTATGGGGCTCTCTCTCATGCTCTCCAACCCGCATTCTCTGGATTAGGTCCATTTTCAGACAAGCTCCTCCAGCAACTACATACCATACATCTTCTCAGGTGTGGGTCCTGCGGGAAAACGAATGCACTTTTTCTCCATTAGTCTCAAATAAACTCTCACTGGCTCTGGTTGAAACACGAAACTATCCTTGTCCATTCGCCATGGCCCTAGTCACTGAATGTCTTCACACCCTGGACTAGTAATAGAGTCCATTGCAAAGCAACTGGACTGAGGATGGGAAATGAGTGATTCCCAGAGTGAAATTGAGGTACTATTACTAAATTAAGGTAAATGTATGTGGAATGTTAAAAAAAAATTGCTATCCAGTATTTGCAAGGTATACTTCTGCCATCAGATATAATGTATTATTGCAAGTATACGTGCTTATCTATTCTATTTTCATTATATTTCTAATTTCTGCAGGCCTTAAAAACATATAACACAAGAGAGAAAGAAAAATTAAATAAAAATAAAAATATATATAACACTCCTAGATACTTACCCAGTAGAAAGAAAAGCATATGTTCATATAAAGACTTGCACATGAATGTTCATAACAGTTCATTTGTAATATCCAAAAGTTGTATGCAACTCAGTTCCCATTAATAGATGAATGGATTAAAAAACAGATGAATGGGCTGGGCACAGTGGCTCACACCTGTAATCCCAGCACTTTGGGAGGCCGAGGCGGGTGGATCATGTGGTAAGAGATCAAGATCATCCTGGCCAACATGGTGAAACCCCATCTCTACTAAAAATACAGAAATTAGCAGGGCATGGTGACACATGCCTGTAGTCCCAGCCACTTGGGAGGCTGAGGCAAGAGAATCACTTGAAGCCAGGAGGCAGAAGTTGCAGTGAGCTGAGATCACACCACTGCACTCCAACCTGGGCAACAGAGCAAAACATTATCTCAGAAAAAAAAAAAAAATACACACAGATGAATGGATAAACAAGCTCAGTATAAACACACAATGTAATACCACTTGCCAATAAAAAGGATGAATTCTTGTTATATACAACAACATGGATGATTCTCAAAATGATTACACTGAGTGAAAGAAGCTTCACAAAAAAAAAGGGTACATACTGAATGATTCTATTTTCATCTTCTAGGAAATGCAAACTAATCTATAAGAACAGAAAGCAAACCAAGATCAGCAATTCCCTATGGAATAGTAAGGGTTGGCTCTGAGGACAGGGAGGGGCAAGAAGGAAAGATTAAAGAGCTACACAGGACAGTTTTGGGAGCAATTGATATCATTATCTTGATCAGGGGTTGACATTTTTTTCTGTAAAGTGCAAGATAGTAAATAACTTAGGCTTTGCATATTATCTGATCTCTGTTGCAACTACTGCACTCTGCCATTGTAACATCAAAACAGTTATGGGTTTTTTAATGGGTGTATCTGTGTACCAATAAAACGGTTTATAAAAACAGGCAGTGGCCCAATTGGGTCTCAACACCATAGTTTGCCAACCTCTGATCTTAATTATGGTGATGGTTTCACATGTATATACATGTATCAAAGTTTATCAAATTGTACACTTTAATCATGCATTAATTATTATAGGTCAGTTATACCTGAGTAAAGCTATTAACAAAGAAAACATACCTGTGTTCCTCATCAAGGATTGGATAAACTCTAATCTTCTTACCATGGCATACAAGTTCTTCATGTCCTGGCCTCTCTTCTTCCCCTATCAGATCCATTGACATTCCCTGGTAGAACGTGTTTGACATACACATCATGCTATTCCAACTCTACTGCTGGGGTGCTCTCTGCTACCTCTCTACCTGGAATGACCTGCTCCCACCAACTGTCTTGCTCAGTCATCCCACTTGTACTTTGGATTAAACTTGCACTTCCAGGATGCCTTCGACATCTTAGTCCTTCTATTCCCCCTGCCTTACACTCTGTGAGATACTTCATCTCTGTGTCCCGTAATAGCTGATGTGTTTGTATGTGCATGTGTTTGTGTACACACCTACAGACACTTGCACGACTATAGTTCTTGATAATTGTAACTATATTTATATATCTAAAATGTTCTCTTTTTTATTTAGAATAACTACCCAGTCTCTGCCTCTGCTACTTTACTGGAATCTCCCTCTTTCTGTTAGACCTATCACAATGAATAACACATTGCAAAAAAAAAAAAAAAAAACTCACTGTGTGCAGTGGCTCACGCCTCTAATCCCAACATTTTGGGAGGCTGAGGGGGGAAGATTGCTTGAGACTAGAAGTTCAAGACTAGCCTGAGAAAAATGTCAAGACTCTGTCCCTATGAAAGTTTTTAAAAAATTAACAGGGTATGGTGGCATGCACCTGTGGTCCCAGCTACTCAGGAACCTGAAGCAAGAGAATCTCCTGAGTTCAGGAGGTTGAAGCTGTAGTGATCGCTGTTCATACCATTACACTCCAGTCTGGGTAACAGAGCAAGATCCTATCTTAAAAAAAGAAAAAGAAAAAGAAAAAAGAAACTCAACAAAGCAGCATCGTTGCTATTATTACAGCTATTTAGCCCATATGCACATCATTGACATCATTGTAAATAGCCAAGCTAATACTGGAAAAAAATCCTACATCTAATCTCAAAGAAGCTTTCTGCTAATTCATGCAAATTTATCATTGGAAGCTTACCTGTATTTTACATTAGTGCCTTTTACTGACTCTGTCACTCTTCTTCCTTTATCTCCTAGATACACCAAAATGAAGACAGCCACCAACATCTACATTTTCAACCTTGCTCTGGCAGATGCCTTAGCCACCAGTACCCTGCCCTTCCAGAGTGTGAATTACCTAATGGGAACATGGCCATTTGGAACCATCCTTTGCAAGATTGTGATATCCATAGATTACTATAATATGTTCACCAGCATATTCACGCTCTGCACCATGAGCGTTGATCGATACATTGCAGTCTGTCACCCCGTCAAGGCCTTAGATTTCCGTACTCCCCGAAATGCCAAAATTGTCAATGTCTGCAACTGGATCATCTCTTCAGCCATTGGTCTTCCTGTAATGTTTATGGCTACAACAAAATACAGGCAAGGTGAGTGATGTTACAGGCCTGAGGGATGGAGGGTTCATAGCCTGACATGTTGGTGATGTCATGAGCAAAACAGTATTTATGGAGTGGTCCATTGTCTTCGTCAAATTGTAATTTTAATTATTCTTTCTAGTAAGAAATGCCCTTGAATACTTTAAAATAGGAATTTTCCTCATAATTTTAGGCCTATAAAACCCTTTAAAGATAACACAATCTATGTATTCCTGATTTCTCTGTATTTCCTTCATAAAAACAGTGGTAAATCGGAACACAGCTCTCCCAAGAGTAATTGGAGCTTAAACCCAAACAGTATTATACTGAGGCTTATTTAAAATTTCCAAGTGGCTGCTACATGGCAAATTTATCTTTCTACACCTAACAGCAGAATATTGAATAATCCATGAAAAAAATGAAGTGAAAACATCCATTAGCTGGAACCTCCTAGAGACTTTGGATAATTATTACATTTGATATCAACATAGACCTCATAAATGGTTAAGCTCATATTGAGAGGTTCATTATCGTTCCCTCAGTGAAAGCTTAATGTGATCAAAGTGGACCACAAAATGGGAAATTTAGAAAAAAAATTAGAATTAAAACTTTCTTTGAAAATCAACAAACAGGTGAGTTTCTTCCACAATTTCCTTACAGCCTTAAGTTAGCTCTGGTCAAGGCTACAAATGAGCAAGCAAAATGGCAGTGTTAAAACCTTATGACATAATTAAATGTTGCTGCTAATTTTTCCTCTAAATTCTTTCCTTCTAGGTTCCATAGATTGTACACTAACATTCTCTCATCCAACCTGGTACTGGGAAAACCTGCTGAAGATTTGTGTTTTCATCTTCGCCTTCATTATGCCCGTGCTCATCATCACCGTGTGCTATGGACTGATGATCTTGCGCCTCAAGAGTGTCCGCATGCTCTCTGGCTCCAAAGAAAAGGACAGGAATCTTCGAAGGATCACCAGGATGGTGTTGGTGGTGGTGGCTGTGTTCATCGTCTGCTGGACTCCCATTCACATTTACGTCATCATTAAAGCCTTGGTTACAATCCCGGAAACTACATTCCAGACTGTTTCTTGGCACTTCTGCATTGCTCTAGGTTACACAAACAGCTGCCTCAACCCAGTCCTTTATGCATTTCTGGATGAAAACTTCAAACGATGTTTCAGAGAGTTCTGTATCCCAACCCCTTCTGCCATTGAGCAACAAAACTCAGCTCGAATTCGTCAGAACACTAGAGACCACCCCTCCACAGCCAATACAGTGGATAGAACTAATCATCAGGTACGCAGTCTCTAGAATTAGGTGTATCCACTGGGTGTGACGTAAAACTTACAGAGCTTTGTGCCATATCAAAGAGTTTAATCCATTGTCAAGGGTAGAATGGAGGGAAGAGGGAAGCAAATTGTGGCTCTAGTGTTAGAGAAGACATTTGTTATATAAACTGCGCTCTTTATATTTGACTTACATATTCATTTTGGTGTAAAGATGCACCAATGAGAAATCGGTGAAACTATTAAAAATCACTATTTTCATGGCCTTTACTTCTATGCAAAATGTATGATTTTAGCACATTGTAGAAGTAATTCTGATCTGGAAACCTTTTACCCAGAACTATGATATAATTCATAGACATCACTTCTATATCCCTCTTGCTTCTCAAAAGCCAGTCTTAATCCAGCTCTGTGGTTAAAGAGACAGGGTCAGTGCCTTGCCCACTGTGGTCATGGGTGCAAGATAGTCACAGAAAATTAACATCACAGAAAAGGAAAAAGATTAAAAAATAACCGTCCCTAACTTTTCCTAAGCTATTGGGTTGCTACCTGAACTCTAGCACAAATATCAAACATATTAGACTGAATAATCTATTATTATCTATGAATTGTAATCCCATAAATATTATTAGATTAAACAATTTTTAACAGACCTCATGCTCGTTGGAGATAATAGGGTGAATAGGGACTAGCTTTTGGAAGGTGTGTTTCTGAGCCCAGAAGAGTTCAGAATATTCAAGCCTTACACACAATATTATAATCATACGGGAAATCAACAAGGAGGAAAGAGAAAAGGCTGTCTCCAAGTTAACATTACTTGGTTAAGCCACTGGTTGGCTAAATTTGACCTCTGATCTATAAAAGTCAATAAAACACATGACAATTATTAATATTAATATAAATAAGTAAATTTTAAATAATGTTGCCAGCATCCAAAAATCACAGTCTGTATAATTTTTTTAACAGTGAATTCAAATTCAAACTTCCTATGAAGTAAAGGTTAGAGCCAGAATCTTGGTTAAAGTTCCTAGAGTCAGGGGTCAGGACTCTGGAGATAGATAGCTCCAGAGAAGAGAATAGGAAGTCAAATGGATGAGGAACCAGAGGAGGCCTTCGCCACGACAGGGTGAAGCTGCTTCCCCCTGCTGTCTCTTGACCACAGCCTCCCTCTCACTGTCCCCTCTTTACCACACTCAGCCATCCAGCCCAGTCCAGGCTCACCTTTTCTAATTGACCAGAGGAGTAATGTAATGTGGCCCAGATGCATCTGTTACAGGCGACATTAATCCTCATACCCCTGGTATTCAGTAATGCTCAAAGGAACACAGGAACTCGTACCCCCTAGAGAGCATGAGGTAATGATGGCAGACCCACTTCCAGCCAAAGGGAAATTATTAACTTATTATGTCTCACTTCTAATTTCATTTCAGAAATGAATGCCAGAAAGAAAGGGTTTTGACTCTGCTTCTTTTCTCTATGTTTTTTTACACATCAAGACCTCTAAACCTACTCTTTTTACTGGGAGATACTTTTTAAAAGTAACTGCAAAAAGCAGCAATTACTTTTGCACCAATCTAATACTAAGCAGCTCTCCTATTCAATGGCTGCTAGAATCTTATAAATAACTCAAAAAGGACAGGGATTGAAATAGATATTCATCAATCTGGGAATAACATGTTAAAGAATACAATTTAAAATGCCCAGTCCTCAACTAAAGGTAAAATATTTTGCTTTGAAGTAAAATATTTCCATTGGAGCAAAATAATCGCCATTATAAAGTACTGACTCTTTCTCCTTAAGTGCCTCCCTGTGCCTTCTCTGTCTTGCTGGGCTCTAGAGCATGGCTGCTAGGTAGTGTACCCTGGACCACTGTAAGGACCTCTCATCACATGGGACTTCCCAGCTATCCTTCACTCCTCCTGCCTTTGTGGAAAGGCAGCTCCCAGCCTGTATGGTGGAGCATTTCTCTGAGCTAAGCATGATTATTCTTCAGTTGCCCGACACTGCCCTTGACTCTCTTCCAAGTTCAGCATTTTCACATCAATGTGGCTATTGTACGGCCAGATAGAGGAGAAAGGAAGCTAATTAGAGGAGTTCTGTTCTAAGTAACTAAAAGGTTTGCTTTGAAAATACATCCAATTAGGGCTTATCTTCATTGCTGCTTCTATGAAGCATCATCAGTGTAAGATAACAGCAGAAACACATTAGCCCTGGAATTGGCTGCTGTCCCAAAATGCCCAGCTGAGAGAACTGGACACAGAAGAGAGGCTACCAGGAAAAGAGGGAAAGACACTCCGACATATTTGAAAATTAAAATAAATCAAAGCTCCCTTTTGCTAATTTCCACTGATATGTCATCATTAGAATTAAAGAAGTTACATCTAGACAACTGGAACAATACATAAGCTTCTGGTGATAGTTTCAATAATATATCAACATCATAAAATGACTTGAAGGAGAAATTGAAGACCCAATGGCTGTGTCTATAGGACATATTAAATTAGTCGTACAAATCCAGAATGTAACAAACAGGTGTTTGGTCATAGTTTCACATCATGAGTCATCATGTTGGAAAACAAAGCTAACAGGATTTGCATTTAACTTTTCAACCACTTGTTTGAAGTTTATATTTGTTGTAGATGTTTATGTTCTGCCTTATGTATTTGTATTTTCTTTGAGGAATATATTATACTCTAAATGTCACATTTCAAGCACATTAGTCAACTTCATATTCTGCAGATCAGAGATCCAATATCAAACCTTCCCAGGGTGTCTGTATTCTGACAACTGTCCAGTGAGGCAATGTCCATACAGCGCAAAGTGGAGTGGCGATTTGGCAGTTATCAAGGTAATTTGATAAGCCAATGAGAAAATTCTGTGCCCAAAATAAGCTTGGAGTCATACTTACACACTTAAGAGCTGCTCAGTCAGATTTTGCTATATAACAAATCGTTCCAAAATTTAGTGGCTGGAAGCAATCATTCACGTAGTTTACAATTCTGTAGAACAGCCACTGGGGTTGGGCTTGGCAGGATCATTCTTCCATTGTTGGCTGGGCTTGCTCTGAGGGGAGCTGCCAGACAGGCAGGTGGTCAACCAGCTGATCTAGATGGCCTCAGCAAAAATGACTAGCTCCACATGGACTCTTACCCACTAGAATGTTAGCCCAGCCTTGTTCTCACGGTGGTCACAGATTCCGAGAGAGAAAAAGATAGACAAAAGAGAGGAAAGCTTCTTTAGGCATAGAGTAGGAACTGGCATACGGTCACCTCCGTGCTTTTTATAGGTCAAATAAAGTCACCCTGCCAACCTAGATTCAAAGGGTGGGAAATTATACTCCATCTCTTGCTGATAGGATCTGCAATTACATTGCAAAAGGATGGGGATACAGGGAGAATAATTATGACCACTTTTGCTAACAATCTGTAATAAGGACATGCTGCATGAAACCGGGATGCCATTACTTCCTGAGGATAGGAGCCATATCTGTCTTGCTCTCCCAGAACAGTGTCTAGCATATTAAAAAGAAAATACGTCCAGCTGGGTGCAGTGGCTCACGCCTGTAATTCCAACTCTTTGGGAGGCCAAGGCTGGTGGATCACTTGGGGTCAGGAGTTCAAGACCAGTCTGGCCAACATGATAAAACCTTATCTCTACTAAAAACACAAAATTAGTCAGATGTGGTGGCACATGCCTGTAATCCCAGCTACTTGGGAGGCTGAGGCAGGAGAATCACTTGAACCCGGGAGGCAGAGTTTGCAGTGAGTCCAGACTGTGCCACTGCACTCCAGCCTGGGCAACAAGAGCAAAACTCCATGTCAGAAAAAAAAAAAGAAAATACTTCCAAAACATCCAAAACACTGGACAGATTCATATCTGTTGAATGAATGATGAGAGGGCTGAGGATATTTCAGGAGATGTGGCAGACGTGACCCCTTTCTCATGCAACTGATGAACAACCTAAATGACTGTGTAACCCTCTAACATCATTTCATGCTTACCGTAAGTAATGGGAAAATATTGAAAATAGGCCTTCTTCCTTTTCTGCTTCTCAGCCTTTATTACTCTGATCCAATGTTACACTTTTCAAAACATGGGTTACATTCATGGTTGTTTTCTAATTTTACTTCTAACAAGTCCTTTTGATGAGGAGACCAAGAGATAGATTCAGTGCCTTAAAGAGGTCTTTCCAGGGTTGAATATGAAAAAAACAAAAAAGATGATCTCATGTTTCTTTGTGCATGCCTGGGCTCAGCCTACTGCTCCAGCTGTAGCATCTGTGCCTGATTGATGTTCAGCTTGCTGTCTTTATGACTTTTACATCTGTATTAGATAGACTCAGGCATAGGCATTCATTTTCCATCTGCTCTCAGTGCAATTTAATTTCGCCACATGCTCCCTACACTGCTGTTGTCCTGTTGAACTCCGCTTTGCTTTCAAACACTTCCCTGTTTATTCTGATCACTTCGGGATCGACTCAAACATGAACTGTTGACCACTGCTAACCTGTCTTGCCCACTTGGTTTCAAACCGAATCGTATTCTCTGATGCATTTTCTTTTTTGTTTTTTGTTTTTTGTTTCTGAGATGGAGTCACTCTGTCGCCCAGGCTGGAGTGCAGTGGTGCGATCTCGGCTCACTGCAACCTCTGCCTCCCAGTTCAAACAATTCTCCTGCCTCAGCCTCCTGAGTAGCTGGGATTACAGGCATGTGCCACCACACTCAGCTAATTTTTGTATTTTTAGTAGAGACGAGGTTTCACCATGTTGGTCAGGCTGGTCTTGAACTCCTGACCCCAAGTGATTCGCCCACCTTGGCCTCCCAAAGTGCTGAGATTACAGGTGTCAGCCACCGTGCCTGTCCTCTAATGTGTTTTATATTTTGACATGTAGGTGTTTATTGAAAACGTTTAGCATCATATTGGGAAAAAAGCAACACTGTTAGAACAGTTGAATTATCACTAAAACAGGTGGTATAAAAGTTATTGCAGTGTTTGCAATTACTTTCAATG